GGTCTTCGGATGGGGGTGTATAGGGTCTGGGAGGTCTTGCCAGGACTTGGTGGCAACGCGGTCTTCGCGGAGGGCGTGGGGGTCGAACTGGGCCTCGGCCGGGTTCCGCAGTTGCATCATGACCGTGGGCTCTGCAGCGCACCGTGACAATGACACCATTCCACTTGCATCGGATTTGCTACAGTTTATGGATACGGTCAGCTAAGTGGAGCATTCCTGACACATGGTCACCTTATTTTCACATTCGTGAAGAACCACCACACGGAATGGCTTGAAGACTACTTGATTGCGAAGAAATCCGAAGGCCAAGCTCACCACAGCCTGCTACGACTGTGTCAACGATTCTAAGCCCACTACCGGATTTTGCAGCAAGTACCGTGCTTCACAAAAATCCCTCAAGCGATACTTGCCGGGACCTAGGCGAAATTTGCCGCTGCATTTGGGACAACTTTTGTGACACTGCGCCGCGTGACATTATGAACGTGAATAAACACCTGTTTACTACGACATGGCACCGACAAAGAGTCTTGCCAAAGTTGGATAATCGTCCATGGTTGACTTGAGCCAAAAGCACTGCAACAGAACTACAGCCGTCCTCTCTGTGCGTTAAAATGGCGAAAAGTTTCCAATTCTTTTCATCCTGAAAAGAATTGGAACTTTTCGCCAGGTGGGCCGATCGATACCTAGGGTGCGCCGACAATTCCGCCTAGTCATGTTTACGTCGTGCAAGAGAAATCGTGGATGGATACAAGTGACGGGGAACTGTATCCGACTGAGCTGCTCAAGTTCGAAATTTATTGACCTTCTTTTACTTTAACAAACAATTTGATTGTCATGTACCTGTGTCGTCGCATGATTTGGTGTCGTATGAATTGTTTAGTGTTTTGGGACCATTGCCCAAGAATTCTCCAACATTTGGAAATTGGTGTCATGGGGTCATTGAAGAGCAAGTGTCGTTTAGAGTGGCTTCACGAGCAGCCGCTTGTGTCTGCAACCGAAATACGCATGGTTATGGTTAAGCGCACTATCGGAGCCTGGGAGGACATGCCATTTGAAATCATCCCTCGCTCATTTGAAAATGCGCTGCCACGGCTCTTACCAAACATCATGTATGTGGCTCTTCAATTCGAAAACTGCTTGAATACAAATTCTGTCAATTCTTGGTGAGGGCAATTTATTGCTAATACAAATTGCAAGATGTTTCTCTCGTACAACTGGTACATTTATCTGTCGCTCACTGTACTACCTCCTTTTGAGTTTAACTGGAAGAGCTGGTGAAATTTGGACGAATTACGCTAGAAATTCATCACGAACCACTAATTCTCAATTTACTTCACCAAATATAATCTCAAAGCAATAAACCTCGGTGGTGGCAATAGACGGTTTCGAATTGGCACGTGTACCAGGCAAACCTACGTCCGGCAAAGGGGGCAATCCCAACCTGACGGTCTTTCGCAGGTATTACCGTCTATTGAAGCCATATCTTCCCCAATCCAACGTACGTTTCCGTAGCAAGTGGGCGTAAGCTTCATACTTCCTCAAAGTCCCAAAGTGTACATTTTACGGACGCTGGAGAAATGACTCCGCCAAGACGCGAAAAACAAATTCTTTATTCTCAACGTAGACAGATTAACACAAAAAACGATATATGCCATGTTCCTATTCTCCATATCTAGCCCCGCTGGGATCATGCCACGAATTCGTGGTGGGATTGCAAGTTTGGCTGCAGACTACTTCAATAACTGTATGAGTTTCACCACTATGTATTGTAATATTTTCAGACAATTACCTGACCAATAGAGTCTGACTTATTGAGTTTCTAGGACAGAAATGCAATTGGTCGACCATTTCCATTGGAGTGGGCTTGGACATCACAGTTCCAAAACAATGGCCAGACGTATCTGTGGCGATAATGACCAGACGATCAAAATGTGGAAGCTTCCTTGGTGGGTTTGTTGAAACGAAACCTTAATGGTGAGAAAGTAGCGTTCTTAGACGGCAGCCTATGTCCATGGCAATTCCTCGCTTACAAGATCATTGAAAGATAGTGCGAGATTAGCGTACTAGGCGATATATTTGCAATAGTAACCAGTACGTCCTACGAAACGCAGTAGATCCGTACTGCTCATCGGCGCGCTCCACTGCTCAGTGACTCGAATCTTTCATTGATCCACGTGGAGGCGTTCTTCGAAATCGTGTGGCCGAGAAAGTCGCATTCGTCAATTGCAATAGAGCATTTTTCCATGCGGGCAAATGGCTTATCGGACCGCAGGATTTGCAAGCCCTGTCGCAAGAGATCTGCATGTTCTTCATTCATAAGAAGAAGTTGCATATGCCTTGAGGTAGACCACACAAAGGAACTTGTCAAAAAGTCTAGGAATGAGGCGAGACCGTATATCTGTCATTTCGGACATACCCACACCACTGCCGAATTTTCTTGTATGTGCGGAATGAGGTGTACTTTCTAATCGATGGTATCACCAACTTGCTTGTACCCAAATGCAAGGTCGATCTTGATGAAGACGTTGCATCTTGTCCGAAAAGCCTTCAATTATGGGCAAAGTAATTTGCGACGTTTCTTTTTGTGAATTACTGTATCATGGCGTAGACCAACGCCCAAAAATTTGCGTGTCATGTGGAGACTTGATCCACTCCTTGCGCGGCAGCAAATACCCTTAGCTGTTCTTCCTAGGTACTCCGAAGATGTTTTTGCTCAATCACTTGTGGATACTTCGACCTATTTCTCTTCTGCAGATTGTCGATCTTGTCCAACAATTCTTGTTCGACCTTACGAGCCAAAAGGAGGACGAATTCGAGGCTTCGCACCAGGCTTGAACTGCATCTGAACTGCACAGCAAGCAAAAACCAACGTCGAAATAATACAGCCTTCAACAAATTCAAGATACCTGCTTATCACGCGGAAATGGTTTCTGTCGTTCACAGAAGTAGTAAAAGCTAACACATGGATCTCTATAGGTTAAATCCACGAACTGTCATTTTCAAACTTTGAAATGACCAAAACCGTCCACCCGCAGAGCACTCAAGCCCTTACACAGTTATGGTTAC